AAAAAGCTAATAAAATAGTGATTTCCAGAAGAGGTGTTGCAACTGATATTTTAGAAGGAGTAACAGGGAGGGGAACTTTCTGACTGGATGATGGATCACATGCTTATAACCAGACCGAGTTGTGGTCAGGGAAACAATAAGAATCCAATCACAATTCTGGAATGCATTCTCGAGAATCCAAAACCAACATTTCACATGCCGGATTCATCAAAGGACAGTGACTGCAGGACTGCTGTGGTCTCCTTTGGTGTTTACTAAGAAAAGTGATCCTCTCCTGTTGGAAAGACTCTACTATCACCCTACTTGGTTCATGACTAACCTTGTTTGAGATAAAGCAGGAAATGAAAACAGTTGGTGAAACTGGCCTCTTTCATTCAAGGCAAAGTACTTACAGTGGGGGGAAAAAGTATTTAGTCAGCCACCAATTGTGCAAGTTCTCCCACTTAAAAAGATGAGAGAGGCCTGTAATTTTCATCATAGGTACACGTCAACTATGACAGACAAAATGAGAAAATGTATTTGCAAATTATGGTGGAAAATAAGTATTTGGTCAATAACAAAAGTTTCTCAATACTTTGTTATACACCCTTTGTTGGAAATGACACAGGTCAAACGTTTTCTGTAAGTCTTCACAAGGTTTTCACACACTGTTGCTGGTATTTTGGCCCATTCCTCCATGCAGATCTCCTCTAGAGCAGTGATGTTTTGGGGCTGTCACTGGGCAACACGGACTTTCAACACCCTCCAAAGATTTTCTATGGGGTTGAGATCTGGAGACTGGCTAAGCCACTCCAGGACCTTGAAATGCTTCTTACGAAGCCACTCCTTCGTTGCCCGGGCGGTGTGTTTGGGATCATTGTCATGCTGAAAGACCCAGCCACGTTTCATCTTCAATGCCCTTGCTGATGGAAGGAGGTTTTCACTCAAAATCTCACGATACATGGCCCCATTCATTCTTTCCTTTACACGGATCAGTCGTCCTGGTCCCTTTGCAGAAAAACAGCCCCAAAGCATGATGTTTCCACCCCCATGCTTCACAGTAGGTATGGTGTTCTTTGGATGCAACTCAGCATTCTTTGTCCTCCAAACACAACGAGTTGAGTTTTTACCAAAAAGTTATATTTTGGTTTCATCTGACTATATGACATTCTCCCAATCCTCTTCTGGATCATCCAAATGCACTCTAGCACACTTCAGATGGGCCTGGACATGTACTGGCTTAAGCAGGGGGACACATCTGGCACTGCAGGATTTGAGTCCCTGGCGGCGTAGTGTGTTACTGATGGTAGGCTTTGTTACTTTGGTCCCAGCTCTCTGCAGGTCATTCACTAGGTCCCCCCGTGTGGTTCTGGGATTTATGCTCACCGTTCTTGTGATCATTTTGACCCCACGGGGTGAGATCTTGCGTGGAGCCCCAGATCGAGGGAGATTATCAGTGGTCTTGTATGTCTTCCATTTCCTAATAATTGCTCCCACAGTTGATTTCTTCAAACCAAGCTGCTTACCTATTGCAGATTCAGTCTTCCCAGCCTGGTGCAGGTCTGGTGTCCTTTGACAGCTCTTTCGTCTTGGCCATAGTGGAGTTTGGAGTGTGACTGTTTGAGGTTGTGGACAGATGTATTTTATACTGATAACAAGTTCAAACAGGTGCCATTAATACAGGTAACGAGTGGAGGACAGAGGAGCCTCTTAAAGAAGAAGTTACAGGTCTGTGAGAGCCAGAAATCTTGCTTGTTTGTAGGTGACCAAATACTTATTTTCCACCATAATTTGCAAATAAATTCATTAAAAATCCTACAATGAGATTTTCTGGAATTTTTTCCTCAATTTGTCTGTCATAGTTGACGTGTACCTATGATGAAAATTACAGGCCTCTCTCATCTTTTTAAGTGGGAGAACTTGCACAATTGGTGGCTGACTAAATACTTTTTTTCCCCACTGTACGTATGTGCATTACAGAAGAAGCCATATATATGAATGAGTAGGGGAGGCAGTTAAAAGTATACTTGAATGTGTACGTTTTAAAGGTTAAATTCCCCCAACAATTCATACATAAATAAGACAGGATCACAGAAATATCATCAAATACACTACCGTTCAAAAATTTGGGGTCACTTAGACATTTCCTTGATTTCCATGAAAACATACATGAAATGAGTTTGAATTGGAAATATAGCAAAATGCATAGGAAATGTAGTCATTGACAAGGTTAGAAATAATGATTTTTAATAGAAATAATAATTGTGTCCTTCAAACAAAAGGAATCCTCAATTTGCAGCAATTACAGCCTTGCAGACCTTTGGCATTCTAGTTGTCAAATTGTTGAGGTAATGTAAAGAGATTTCACCCCATGCTTCCTGAAGCACCTCCCACAAATTGGGTTGACTTGATGGGCACTTCTTACGTACCATACGGTCAAGCTGCTCCCACAACAGCTCAATAGGGTTGAGATCCGGTGACTGTGCTGGCCACTCCATTAAAGAAAGAATACCATCTGACTCTTCTTCCCTAAATAGTTATTGCATAGTTTGGAGCTGTGCTTTGGGTCATTGTCCTGTTGTAGGAGGAAATTGGCTCCAATCAAGCGCCATCCACAGGGTATGGCATGGCGTTGCAAAATGGAGTGATAGCCTTCCTTCTTCAAGATCCCTTTTACCCTGTACAAATCTCCCACTTTACCACCACCAAAGCACCCCCAGACCATCACATTTCCTCCACCATGCTTGACAGATGGCATGAAGCACTCCTCCAGCATCTTTTCATTTGGTCTGCATCTCACAAATGTTCAGCTTTGTGATCCGAACACCTCAAACTTCGATTAGTCTGTCCATAACACTTTTTTTCCAATCTTCCTCTGTCCAGTGCCTGTGTTCTTTTGCCCATCTTCAACTTTCCTTTTTATTGGCCAGTCTGAGATATGGCTTTTTCTTTGCAAGTCTGACTAGAAGGTCAGCATCCCGGAGTCGCCTCTTCACTGTTGACGTTGAGACTGGTGTTTTGCGGGTACTATTTAATGAAGCTGCCAGTTGAGGACCTGTGAGGTGTCTGTTTCTCAAACTAGATACTCTAATGTATTTGTCCTCTTGCTCAGTTGTGCACCGGGGCCTCCCACTCCTCTTTCTATTCTGGTTAGAGCCAGTTTGCGCTGTTCTGTGAAGGGCGTAGTACACAGCGTTGTACGAGGTCTTCAGTTTCTTGGCAATTTCTCGCATGGAATAGCCTTCATTTCTCAGAACAAGTATAAAATGATGAGTTTCAGAAGAAAGTTCTTTGTTTCTGGCCATTTTGATCCTGTAATCGAATCCACAATTGCTGATGCTCCAGATACTCAACTAGTCTCAAGAAGGCCAGTTATATTGCTTCTTTAATCAGCACAACAGTTTTCAGCTGTGCTAACATAATTGCAAAAGGGTATTCTAATGATCAATTAGCCTTTTAAAATGATAAACTTGGATTAGCAAACACAATTGGAACACAGGACTGATGGTTGCTGATAATGGGCCTCTGTACGCCTATGTAGATATTCCATAAAAAATCATCAGTTTCCAGCTACAATAGCCATTTACAACATTAACAATGTCTACACTGTATTTCTGATCAATTTCATGTTTTTTTAATGGACAAAAAAAAAATGCTTTTCTTTCAAAAACAAGGAATTTTCTAAGTGACCCCAAACTTTTGAACGGTAGTGTAGATTGCTGCCTTATCTTGGCTGTTGGAAGATGAGATGATCACAGTAAAGCCTCTCCTGCAGTGAGAAGGTTTATGTAGGAGGAAGACACCAGACACAGACCACCAGAGCCCAGATTCCAAGCAGGCACAATGTGCAGCACCCATATAAAGGATGCCCCAGAGTGTGTGGACCAGTAGCGGTCAGTGCCATTTAAGATGAGGGTGGACGATTTGTTTTTAATGACCATGGCCTTATTTCTGTTACAGCATATTGGATGACTCTCATTCATATTCCATTCACCCAGTTCAATGTAACAGCGAAAGGTTTAGGCTACTACATGATACTCAAATGTTTCCTATACCCATCATGAGGTTGCTACAACCTAGCCTATGAATGAACGTTTACAACACAGGTGCACACAGGTCGAGAGACAAATTCGAGGTGACTGACAGTGACATTTAATACCACCTTGCACACTCTTGCCTGCATCTAGCTGATATAGGGTGTAATCATTAGTCCAACAGTTGCAAATGAGAGTTTCTATTGGACAAATTCAGGTATGTTTATCCACGTTTTGTTTCCGTTTGCTTCCTTTAAGAAACGCTTTTCTACAGAATCGGTGTAATGAATACACCCTTAATCACGTGTAAACAGAGTTCACTCTCATAACAGCCACGTTGTATTCATTCTCTTCCCTTCGCTTGTGGACATCAGCTGTATGTGATCAGGCGAAAAAAACTTTCCAAGCCAAACCGCTAGACACAGCCTATATCGTTGTCACCAAATTAGCTAAAGTAACGTCATAGTCAGCATAGCTAATAGAACTAATGCGTTAGTAAACCCAATACAATCATGCAGTAATGTTAGTGTACAGTCAGTAAGCAGTTACACCGGCTGGCCCTGGTGGCAATAAATTAGTAATAACAAAAGCTTACCTTTAGTTGGAAGAGTTCCAGTGTTGTGTTGGAAAGTCATAGCCACCGGGCTAACATGATGGGGGACCATTATTGATACACACGAGAAACTGTTGAGTGTGAAAAGCCCAGCAGCATTGCAGTTCTTGACATAAACCTAGCACCTACTACCATACCCCGTTCAAAAGCACTTAAATATTTTGTCTTGCCCATTCACCCTCTGAATGGCACACATGCACAATCCATGTCTCAATTTTCTCAAGGCTTAAAAATCCTTATTTAACCTGTCTCCTCCCCTTCATCTACACTGACTGAAGTGGATTTAACAAGTTACATCAATATGGGATCATATATTTCACTTGGATTCACCTGGTCAGTCTATGTCATAGAAAGAGCAGGTGTCCTTAATATTTTAATGCTTATTGATAGTGCAACCAAAATCAGTTCCTGGCAAACTGACACATTATCTACCATTTACAGTACACACACCAAGAATGTAAACAAAACATTTTAAGAAAAACCAACAGGATTTCCTTTATTGGGTAAGAGATTGGCTAGCTTATTTTGTATGAAATTCTGACAGGTGGTGACTTTTCATTCAGTGCTTTCGGGAAGTATGTACAAAGGACATGGAATACATACCATTGAAATTTTAAAAAGAACCATACATTCAAAATAGCCTCTACTTTGCTCATTGTAATGTTTCCACGATTGTTTAGGGAATCTGATGAGAGCTTATGAAGTAGATTCTGTTTACTGTTTGCTCTCTGTTTAGGTCGGAGGAGTGGCTGAAATAATACATTCATATTCAAATCTAGGGGAACGTTACATTAGGTTTATAATTTACAAAAGGAACTGGCTTCTTTGAAAAGTTGACTGATTCATAGTCATGCAATTGACAGACAACAAATATATAGGTGGGCAGCAACATTGATTTGTCATTAATACTGGGAGATAATTTTTTCCCATACAATGATTGATATAAATTCAGAGATATACCCTTCTCTTAAACCCACTGATATGACAGAATTCTTCACATAGTTTTGGTGTTACCTGAATGATGATCAAAACCAAAGTAGAATAATACAACCTATCCTATATGATACAGTAGAAAGAAAGTCATATCCTCCTATTTTCCCTAACACTAAAATCAAATTGAACGTGAACAACACTCAAAACACGAACTTTAAATGCCCTTGCAGTGGTCCCAAAGTCATTAAACTGTACAGAAAGATTAAAAAAATTAATAATAATAGAAAAAAATAGAAAAAATGAAATCTGCATTACAACGGGAAAAAATACGTTGGAGTATTACATGTACACGGAGAGGCGGGGTAGGGGTAGTGCAGGAGGGGGTGAAAGGTCAGCAGAGGAGGCGGGTGAGTGTGAGAAGAGCTGTCAGGCTGGGCAGAGCAGCGCTGAGACTAGAGGCTCCACTGGATGACATGCAGTGGTCTCTATTCTGGCCGATGCAGGCAGCATAGGCCATGACATGGGGAATGTAGTTCTGCTCGTGGACACCGTGCAGCAGGTGAGCCATGGGGCCCTTAGCAAACACAGCCACATCCTCTCCTCCATGAGTCTCCATACTCAGCGGCACTGCAGACTGGGCCTGGTAGTTATTTTCCTCTGGATAGAGGGAGGGAAGGGAAAGGGTGGAGGTAGAGAAAGGGAAGAAGAAAGAGATCAGATGGATGATTTTGTGGCATGCCAAAGACCAAGTGGTGTTCTCTAAGACAGAGGACTGTCAAAATGGCAATACTGCATTGATGATAAGATTTCAGTTACCGTAGTCAAGGGTGGAGACATTCTCTCTCAGACCGTTGACTACTTTGAACCCTGGTCCGTTCCCATATAAGATGGCGGTGAAGGGCTTCTGGTCCACATCACTCAACATGGGATTCAGTCCTGTGGATAGAGAGGAAAATAATCAACCATCTCCATCACAAACAATTAATCACAACATCCACAACATCCAAATGACTGATGACTGAGTGTAGCCACATACAATACATGGTTGCAAAATCATCCATTTCTCACCAAATATTGTGTTCCCCCTTGGCGTGTAGCCTCCGAAGTTGAACATGTGAGAGTGGTCAGCAGTGACGACAGTCATTGTGTCATATATGCTGGTCATGAGGCCGGCGTGGCCAATGGCCCGGTCCATCTCCACTGCCTCATGCAGGGCCTGCTTGGCTTTACCGTCATGATGTCCGTGGTCAATGCACCCCCCTGCCAACGCACAGCCTGGTTAACCTCTCTCTCTCACGCAGATGAGAAAATCTAGCATCAGCATTGGCAAAGTAGCCTCAGCTGTGCAAACTTTACATTCAACATGATATACATTATTAATTAACCTTATGCAACAGATACAGTATTTACTGGTGCCAGAGTGTAAAACAACACTCACCCTCCACCAGCAGGTAGAATCCCCTGGGGTTTTTCCTCAGGATCTTGATGGCCACCTCCACCATCTCTGTCAGGGAAGGATCTCTCTCATTGTTTCTCTCCAGGTCGTAGGGAAGATCTCCCGGCTCAAACAGACCTGTGTTAACACGGGAAGCTGGGTTTATTATATTGAGAAATAGGTAGAGAAGATGATCAACAGTGGTTAACATGAAAACAAAAGATGAAACAGGCCGATCGTGAAATCAGTATAGAGCAACAATTTTTAAAAATAACTCACCCAAAATGTAATCCACACTATTAGGATTTAGCGATAAAAGTTCCTTCTTGTTCCATACATAGTGGGCTTTCTGTTCATTTAAAAAATAAAACAATATATAATATGGCATTGATCTAACCCTGTGACAACCTAAAATTATTCAAATGTTCTTGATACGAAAAATTGAGAAAGGTGGAGGACAGAGAAGAACAAGGAAGAAACAGCAGGACATGGTAGAAGAGGAGAGAGAAGGACTAAGACAGACTAAACAGCTGACCTTGTTTTTCATTCTGTTATTCCACTCCTCCACCAAGTTCCTTCCATCGATGCGGGTACCAAAGTGTTTCTTCTCTCCAGGATACTCCACATCTGACTGATTTTTGGGGAACATGTACTTCCTCCCTCCTCCCATAATCACCTAGACACCCACCATAGAGATAAAACGTTTGATTTATCTATATGGACATCCACAGTAGGGTTGAATATTTTGCCGTTATTATTATCTGTGAGCCTTTACATTACAGGTGCAAGTTGCTCAATATTACTGTCTGAAATAATGCTCTGTTTTTAGCATGATTACTGGATATTTTCTGTAATATCAGGATCCATGTTATATGCTGTGACTCACATCGATGTTGGGAATGTTCTCAAAAAGCTGCCTGGCGATATCCTTGCAGCCCGCCTGTACTGCCTCAGCAGGCATTTCTCCATCGGAGTACCATTCCCTGTCCACACAGGTGGGCGTAGGCCGCACTGGGGGTGGCATGGTTCACACGCGTTGTTGTAACTATTCCCACTGACTTGCCTGGGTAACAAACACACAAACAGTTTTTGAACCTGCTGCTTGGATTCTGTACAATAGTCTGCCAGATCTGAAGACAACCAATTGCTCCAAAGAATCTGCTAATTCTAGTTGAACTTGAACAGAGTGTCAGTTCATTTTTCAGTCATTTGAGAAATGACCATTTCTGTATTTTTTGTTTGTTGATTACCTATCATGGTTATAGTACTTACTATGTTAGACAGAGAATTGTGGTTATACAAATATCTCCACTGAGGATGAGTGGGTCAGAAACGGAGGCAGGTAGCTTAGTGGTTAAGAGCGTTGTGCCAGTAACCGAAAGGTCTCTGGTTCTAATCCCCGAGCCGACTAGGTGAAATATATGTCGATGTGCCCTTGAGCAAGGCACTTAACCCTAATTGCTCCTGTAAGTCGCTCTGGATAAGAGCGTCTGCTAAATTACTAAAATGTAAATGTTAAAGACTGTTCCTGCTGTGAGTTATCTATTTCTGTGTGTTACAGTATGTGGTCTGGTCGCTAAGGAATGACTGGATCTCTGACCTCTACTCCAGAAGTCTTGTTTTCATTCCTGCCATGTCTCTAAGTCGTTGGGGCATGCTAGGGAGTCTCTGCCTTTGAGAAAATACATATGTAGCTATAAACTCCCCATTAGCATGCATGCATGACTACGTTTACAATGTTATCATGGTGTGTCTCTATTGCTTATCTCAGGATGGCCAAATAATCCTTAGTAGATCTGGTGTAGAGAGGTACTGTGAATAAACATGGGTTATAATGAGACAGTACCTGCTTCCTTGGCCCATCTGAGGATGGAGGTGACCTCGTTGCCCTGTGTGGTGTTGCACTGGGAGCGGACGGCAGCTGCACTCACACCCACCGTGCCCTCGTTGGCCTTCACCCCACAGAGGAATGCTGTGGCCGTACCTGCGCTGTCTGCGACCTGGGCATTGGTGTTATACGTCTGCAGAGACAGGACAGTAATGTGTGGATTATGTAGAAATGTAGTAGGAGACATTGTTGTGCCTGCCGTGTTGGTGTTCTAAATTCTTACACAATCATTGACACAGACTACCACATGACCAGTCATGTGTGGAATGTGCTGCTGCCTTAACTGTAAAGACAGTTCTATGATGTGTAGCTTCTTGCAAAGTATGTAACATAATAACACATTATTATCGTATGACATAGACAGTATGTGACCTGGTATATTGGTGTTGCTCTTGGTGAACCATTCATTACTTCCAGATCAATAATGCATGCTATTCTATAGGTCTTCTATAGGACAACAGACCAGGTCAGACCTTGGAAAGCGCAACAAAGGGGAAATTGTCCATCTCCAGCTGGGTCTCTTCCCCACTCTGTCTGCTCAGCTGCCCCTTCAGTATTCGTGCTGCTGTCACTGTGGGAATGCCCATTCCTACACAACAAAAGCAAAGCAGTGCTCGGTCTGTTACGGTGTGAATCTATTTAAAGGATAGAGTGCCTTTCCATCTCATGCATTAACACCCTTTGGTTTTCTCTCTGGTTAACATTGTGGTCCTCTGTAGCTCAGCTGGTAGAGCACGGCGCTTGTAACGCTAAGGTAGTGGGTTCGATCCCCGGGACCACCCATACACAAAAAAAAAAATTAAATGTATGCACGCATGACTGTAAGTCGCTTTGGATAAAAGCGTCTGCTAAATGGCATACTATATTGCTCTGTGGTCACTTTTCACAGCAGCTGCTCTACCCATTCAACAGACAACTCTACATTTGGTGTTAAGGAACCCTGTCAAAAGAGCTTTTACTTGAGATCTGCCTTTTCACAAGTCAACAAAATGTATATTTTTAGAGGTGACTATCTATTTTCCCTTCGTTTTTTTATGGGTGTCAAAATGGATGCTTTTGTAGAGGATGTGAACTGACGTGCACTTTCACTTTATCCAGCATGACTGTTTTAAGCATGGTTGTCATACATGATAAAGAAAAGTACATTGTATACTGCTGCATATAAAACATAGACAGTTAAGGTCCTTTGGGGGGGACAGTTTAATGGGTCACTACATAACATAACACAAAGCAGAAGCCATGTTATCCATTGGCACTGGCAGCATATATTTGTAATGCTCGATGGCTCCCATATTCAACATTCGATTTAGAAAGCCTGAAACATGCTATTTACTTCCGACTGGATTACATAAATCCACCAGAATGTTTAGATGGAAACGGCTGTGGATTGATGAGGAGAATATACTTATCATCAAAATACTTGTTTCCTAAAACCACTAGGAAAAATAATCTGGAACTGTATAAAAATACTAAATATGTATGCTGCACATAAGCTCTTTGATTGCATAGAGTTAAGACTTCACTTCATCATACAGTATGGCACATACTCATGGAATGAAAAAGGCTCCTGTGATCATGGCTTACCATCACCAAGGAAGAGGATGAGGTTCTTTGCAGTGTTTTGGTTGAGCTTCTGAAGTGTGAGGGCATTCTTCAAAGTATGCTGGGCCCATGTGTTCCAGAACAAGGGATATTTCTCTTGGTCTGCAACACGGAGGTAGACTTTTAGTTTTAAATGAGGAGAGAAAGAGGCCAGCAGAAGTGATCTGTAACACCTGCGAAAGTACTGGGACAAGTGGGACGGAATATGCCCCAAATAAATGGAATACATGTTGAGGTTCCTCCAGGGAACCATTTTTTGAGGGACATGACATGTTCTGTAGGGTCTGCCACTGCCAACCATATAACCTCTGACATCTCCAGCATGTAAGCTTCTTATTTCTGAAATCACATGTTGCCTACTATACACCAGCACATACATTAAATGATGTTACGATAAGAAGGAACCTAATCTTCTTATTGTATAGGGAGAAATATTACACATCTGGAATCCATTTTGTGAACCTCTCCTGATCTGTACATAATCTATCAGGAGCTAAATGATTCTGGTCATTTTGTAGAGAGAACAGAGAAAATGGTGGTTCACTAGCATCGTACTGTAAATGCAGTGTGAATTATGTTCAGTGGGGTCAATAGACTGACAATTATAACTCTAACAAGCCGTGTTATTCTAAACAGGATGCATAAACAACAGATAAGTGTCACTTCCTTAAAAAGAGCAGTTGAAGACTTCTGCACATGTCACATCTCCAATAAATCAAAGCCCAATTTTGTTTCTTCACCTTCTCCCTGAAGTGTGCCCTCATTCACTCCTCCTCAAGGATTTTAGGAGTATTGGATTGGTGTACGCATGTGCTAAAGGATCTTTCCACCACATTTCCTAAACTTGTCCCTTTCCTTTTATATCTATGAACGGGAGTGAACAAGTGCACACTTCAGGGAGAAGGGGAGAAAAACAGATTTGTGTTAGTAAGTGTCCCCTCTCAGCTCTTCCTGATGGATTTCAGTCAAACAGCTGGATGCTGTTAAGAGACATTACATTTATTGACAGGTGTGTGTATTACCAGGAAACTGTGGCTTCCCCAGGCCTCCACAGGCTAGGCAGGAGCAGATGAGCAGGATTGTCACCTTCATGATGCTTTCTCTCTATCGCTGTACTGTTATCACATACCACGTCCCAAACTAGAGGGAGTCTGTAAAATAAGGAGAAATCAGTGTTGATGAAAGTTGATGAGTTTGCGTTAAAGTGCAGCAAAGAATGGGGAAAGTAGGTAGGTTTCAACTTAGACATTCACAGTGAATATAAGTAATGGTATTGTGGTAGTGTAGTCCCAACCCGGCCACATGGGCCCTGAGCAGCCAGCCTTAATCTATTATTACACCCCCCCCCCCCCCTGTCCTTCCCCTGTCCCTCCTCTGTGCTGTGGTCAAGGTCACTTTAATTGGATTGTGGGCCATAGCACAGAGAGATTTAACAGCCATAACAAGAGGTTTCAAATGTATTGTTACATTTGCTCTAAATAACCATTATGTGCTTAAAAGAAAATTGTATTTCACAAATTCTTGAAACTGTGTGCGAATGAGCCCTGTTAGCCTCGCTACTGTTAAAACAGACAATGCAAGTCCTACAGCATTAGTATAAAATCTGAGTTTAGGTCTAAGTGGAATTATGTTTTTCGAAATGTTTACAAATTAATACAACATTTCAAGCTGAAAGGTCTTGAGTCAATAAGTATTCAACCCCATTGTTTTGGTAAGCCTAAATAAGTTCAGGAGTAAACATTTGCTTAAGTCACATAAGTTGCATGGACTCACTCTGTGTGCAATAATATTGTTTAACATGATTTTTAACCTCATCTCTGTACCCCACAAATACAATTATCTGTAAGGTCCCTCAGTCGAGCGGTGAAATTCAAACACAGATTCAACCACAAAGACCAGCAAGGTTTTTCAATGCCTTGCAAAGAAGGGCACCTATTGGTAGAATGGTAAAAATACAAATAAAACAGACATTGAATATCCCTTTGAGCATGGTGAAGTTATTAATTGCACTTTGGATGGTGTATCAATACACCCAGTCACTACAAAGATACAGGCGTACTTCCTAACTCAGTTGCCAGAGAGGAAGGAAACCGCTCAGGGATTTCACCATGGTGACTTTCAAAGAGTTGGAGTTTAATGGCTGTGATAAGAGAAAACTGAGGATGGATCAACAACATTGTAGTTACTCCACAATACTAACCTAATTGACAGAGTGAAAAGAAGATATGATTTTTAGGCCATATCGCCCAGCCCTAGTTGAGTTCATTAAGTTACTCGGTTGGTCTCTAAAAAGGTTTTGCCGTGCCACAAACGCAGGACTATCCTCTGAGTAAAGCTTAGAAGTGGTTGGGCCCACCAATCGGCAGCACACTAGACAGCCTGCAGGTGAAGTAGCAGAGCAGTGCCAGGATGACCACCAGGAGAATGCCAGAGAAAAGGAGGGTCACCACAATCGAGAGTCCATCTCGGCCCATGGTGTCAAGGAGCTCAGGGCTCAGTGACACAGGCTCCTCCATTCTGGGATAACATTGACCTCAGACACATTCCCCCAAACAGATTACCTTGGCCGATCCAAAATGTAATGGGAGAAGAAGGAATCAATCCAGTTCAATCAATGTTGTGTTCCAACTGGTCGGTTTGATCCTTTACTTTCAAGAACTCTGGGTTTTGGCTTAATTCTAGGGATGCTGTACACTGTGTACTGGATATCTATGGTGATATTTTTAATGTCTCAATGTCTCTAGCACTGGCATTATTTTCCCCTCGGAAAATAATGGTCAGAGGGGTGGTGGTACAGGAATCCTCATCTCTCCCAAGTGGACATTCTCAATTTTTCCCCTAACCCATCTGTCTATCTCCTCATTTGAATTCCATGCTGTCACAGTCACTAGCCCATTTAAGCTTAATATCCTTGTCATCTATCGCCCTCCAGGTTCCCTTGGAGAGTTCATCAATGAGCTTGACGCCTTGATAAGTTCCTTCCCTGAGGATGGCTCACCCCTCACAGTTTTGGGGGATTTCAACCTCCCTATGTCCACATTTGACTCATTTCTCTCTGCCTCCTTCTTTCCACTCCTCTCCTCTTTTGACCTCACCCTCTCACCGTCCCCCCCTACTCACAAGGCAGGCAATACGCTTGACCTCATCTTCACTAGATGCTGCTCCTCTACTAATCTCACTGCAACTCCCCTCCATGTCTCCGACCACTACTTTGTTTCCTTTTCTCTCTCACTCTCCTCCCACACTACTCACTCTGCCCCTACACAGATGGTAATGCGCCGCCGCAACCTTCGCTCTCTCTCTCCCACTACTCTCTCCTCTTCCATCCTATCATCTCTTCCCTCTGCTCAATCCTTCTCCCTCCAATCTCCTGATTCTGCCTCCTCAACCCTCCTCTCCTCCCTTTTCTGCATCCTTTGACTCTCTGTGTCCCCTATCCTCCCGGCCGGCTCGGTCCTCCCCTCCAGCTCCGTGGCTTGATGACTCATTGCGAGCTCACAGAACAGAGCTCCGGGCAGCGGAGCGGAAATGGAAGAAAACTAAACTCCCTGCCGACCTGGCATCTTTTCACTCCCTCCTCTCTACATTTTCTTCATCTGTTTCTGCTGCTAAGGCCACCTTCTACCACTCTAAATTCCAAGCATCTGCCTCTAACCCTAGGAAGCTCTTTGCCACATTTTCCTCCCTCCTAAATCCCACCCCCCCCCCCCCCCCCCCCCCCCCCCCCCCTCTCTCTCTGTGGATGACTTCGTCAACCACTTTGAAAAGAAGGTTGACGACATCCGATCCTCGTTTGTTAAGTCTAATGACACTGCTGGTCCTGCTCACACTGCCCTACCCTATGCTTTGACTTCTTTCTCCCCTCTCTCTCCAGATAAAATCCTGCGACTTGTGACTGCAGGCCGCCCAACAACCTGCCCGCTTGACCCCATCCCCTACTCCCTTCTCCAGACCATCTCCGGTGACCTTCTCCCCTACCTCACCTCGCTGATCAACTCATCCTTGACCGCTGGCCATGTCCCTTCCGTCTTCAAGAGAGCGAGAGTTGCTCCCCTTCTCAAAAAACCAACACTCGACCCCACTGATGTCAACAACTACAGACCAGTATCCCTTCTTTCTTTTCTTTCCAAAACTATTGAGCGTGCCGTCTTTAGCCAACTCTCTTGCTATCTCTCTCAGAATGACCTTCTTGATCCAAACCAATCAGGTTTCAGGACTGGTCATTCAACTGAGACAACTCTTCTCTGTGTCACGGAGACTCTCCGCACTGCTAAAGCTAACTCTCTCTCCTCTGCTCTTGTCCTTCTAGACCTGTCTGCTGCCTTTGATACTGTGAACCATCAGATCCTCCTCTCCACCCTCTCCGAGCTGGGCATCTCCGGCGCGGCTCACTCCTGGATTGCGTCCTACCTGACCGGTCGCTCCTACCAAGTGGCGTGGCGGGAAGCTGTCTCCGCACCACGTGCTCTCACCACTGGTGTCCCCCAGGGCTCGGTTCTAGGCCCTCTCCTTTTCTCCCTATACACCAAGTCACTTGGCTCTGTCATATCCTCACATGGCCTTTCCTATCATTGCTACGCTGACGATACACAACTAATCTTCTCCTTTCCCCCTTCTGATAACCAGGTGGCGAATCGCATCTCTGCATGTCTGGCAGACATATCAGTATGGATGACGGATCACCACCTCAAGCTGAACCCTGGCAAGACGGAGCTGCTCTTCCTCCCGGGGAAGGACTGCCCGTTCCATGATCTCGCCATCACGGTTGACAAACTCCGCTGTGTCCTCCTCCCAGAGTGCGAAGAGCCTAGGCGTGACCCTGGACAACACCCTGTCGTTCTCCGCCAACATCAAGGCGGTGACCCGCTCCTGCAGGTTCATGCTCTACAACATTCGGAGAGTGCGACCCTGCCTTACACAGGAAGCGGCGCAGGTCCTGGTCCAGGCACTTGTCATCTCCCGTCTGGACTACTGCAACTCGCTGTTGGCTGGCCTCCCTGCCTGTGCCATTAAACCCCTACAACTCATCCAGAATGCCGCAGCCCGTCTGGTGTTCAACCTTCCCAAGTTCTCTCACGTCACCCCCCCTCCTCCGCACACTCCACTGGCTTCCAGT